CTGTTTCCTATAAGAGCCTTACAAAACACCTGTGACAGGCTTTGTGTGATTGTAATCTAACAATGCATTAAACAAGGAATTGATTCATTTTCATTTATATTTATTTTATCTGATTGCACAGATTGTTGTCATGTTAGAGTAGGTGAAATTGTACAGGATATCTGAGCACGTTGGATACTGAAATCTCCCCAAAAATGTGAAAAAAATTGGTTAAAAAAACTGTCCAACATAATGGTACAAACATATTGTCCAACATATTGGTAAAACAAAACAACAGTCAAACATTTTTGGCACAGACATATTGCCCAAGATAATGGTATAAGCAAACCATCTATAAATGTTGGTACAAAAAAATTGTCCAAAAATGGTATAAAGAAACTGGTACAAATAAACCAAGCATAACTAAAGTTTTTTTTGGTTTATCTACCTTGACCACTGTCCAACGGTTTCTTTTTTCTCTTCCTCTGGGGTGTGTCCTGGCGAGCAACTCTGGTTGGTCTTTCATCTTCAACATTGGCTGCCTGAGCTTCAGCAGATGACTGTATGCCACTCCTGCATGGAAAAGTAGTTAGTGACAGAAATAACCAAAGTAACAATATCTCTGGGTTCACTAATTCACACAGTTTCTACACAGGTACTTTTCAAAATTTTCAGGAATTCACCCACATATCAACAGGCAAACCCTTTTTATGTTATTTCTATTTGCTTTTTTGAAGCTCTGTTCTATATGTCATGTAATTTCATGCAAAGTCTGATAACTAAAATAGTTTATTTTTTCTTTTTAATAATGTAGGCTTTTATCTAAATATATATATAGCTTCTAGTTAGCAACAAGATGGCTGACTCGCAAATTTGAGTGTGGACTGAAATTGACGAAAAATGGATAAGTGTCAAATAAGTATCAATAGAAATGTATATGGGAAGCAAAAGTAAGACTATGGGGAGTGCACCGAAACTGTAAATTCCAAAGATGGGGTCCTGAAGTCGATATGGCTCCGATACCAATGGCATTTTGGCAACTCATGTGATGCAGTTAGTGCCTAGTTGTATTGTCAGGTGTCATTCCCTTGCATCCGCTGGCTGCGTGGAGCGTGGAAATCTGCTGCTTCAGGTAACAGCTGGTCTTCATAAAACCCCCCCCCAGGTTAAGTACCTTAGGAGCAGAGCTTTTTTGTAAAGCAAGGAAAGTATCCATGAAACAAAGCCCTTGCAACAAAAATAGCATTATGGATAGTCAAATTTAACCAGGAGTCAAGGTTCTCTTGCGAGAAGTGCAGCCGAGACTGCCAATCCAGGATGGGTCTCGTCAACCATTTGATGAATTGTCTATGTCTCGCGAAGGTGGAAGGATGCCTTATATATATCTAAAAATAAAGTGAAACTTAGTTGTTGTTGTTTATTTCAGGTAAAATTTAAAAAGGAAAAAGACAGTGTGAATAGAAAATGTGTATCCCTCATTTAAAAACTATGGTTAAGAAGATCATGATTCTGCTTACTTTGTCTTTCTTGGTACTTTAACAGGGGGTTTCTTCTCAATAGAACTGTACAAGGGGTCATTTACTGTATCCTCTGGTGTCACTGCATACTTGTATTTACGTGAGCCAATGGGCAGCGACCTTTCTTTATCTGGTTCATCATCAACATATTCACTAGATCTCTGGAAGCAGTTGAAATACATAATATTAATTAATATTTAATAAATAAAAATTCTTACAAAAAGTGTTCATAAAGAATATTTTAAATGTATGAGCTCAACGGTAATAACTTTACACAGCATTGTCAGTATATTTATGTAATTTAATGTAGCCTATAATTTTAATATGAGTGGAAGAAAACATAAAACCAGTGATTAATTTTGAAACCAAGAATAACACTTAAAGCTTTATGACACTAAAAAAAACAGCAATTAATTTAGATTAATGAGACACAAACAATTTTTGTAAATAAAACATATAAGTTAAGCTTTAATTTTGGTTATACAGAATACAAATGCCAACGTGTAAATTAAATCTTAACCTTCATTGTTTTATTTACACAAATTCTGTCTCATTAATCTGCTCAAAAGCTTTATTGCAGCTAAATACTCTTATAATTAGTTAACAATTAATTTAAACTGATTAAGTCCAATACTCAAAATAAATTAGTTGCTGCAATACTGAGAGTTTTAAAAATCACAGACTTTAAATGGCAGCAGTAACTAGACTGTCTGCTATAATTTACAAGCATTTAATTTTTCATATAAACTTAAACAAAACAATAATTCAACATCATACAGTGATAGAATAAAAAACAATCCAGTAGCATTTCAAAATCATCATAATTATTCCTTGCCTGTTTCTTTTTCTTCTTTTTTGATTTTTTAATGCTAGGTGGTGGGGGAAGAGATGTGATATAAATTTCCTCTTCATCTGTTTCCATCTCTTCCACAATGTCATCCTCCATTTCCTCATCTAACAACTCCTCTTGCTCCTCTACATGAAGTACCTTTTCTTCAAACATCCCATCATTAATCTTCTTTGCCTCATTCCTCTCTACTTGTTTCTTCGATGGTTTCAGAGAGTCCTTCAAATGTGAACTTGATCCTCCACTACACAGGCCAGCCCGACCTGTGGGCGGTTTCTTCTCCGGTAGAGCTCCGGAACCGCTCAACGCATTATCAGCTTTTATCTTGACATCACTCCTACCATCATCAAGGGCTGATTGTTCTTTGGTAACAGTTTTAGTTTTCTTAACATCCTTTTTTTGTGTCTCTACTTCAGTATCACTTTTGTTCGTTTCACTCGGTTTGGTGGATAAAGTGTCCTTGACATCAACATTTCTTTGACCCCTGCATGGCCCTGACTTAGTCGAGCTAATTTTGTTATTTCCATTGGTAACATTACTCGAATTTTTGTTAGTTTCTTCTTGTTGGGGAGAGCTACTTAAAGACGGCCTAACCTCAACGCTCTTCTGTCCCCTGCATGACCCTGATGATTTTCTGGCACCATTTATTTTAGAATTTCCCTTTTTACTTTCACCAGCTTTTGTATTAATCACAACTTCTTCCTTCAAATTCACTTTGGAACCGACAAGTTGCTTCGTTTTTGACTCTTTCACATCCACACTTTTCTCTCCTCTACAGAAACCTGGGGATTTTTTTTTGTCACCATTGACCTTTGCATTGTTAATATTCTCCTTATTTTCGACACTCACAGCACCTGGTTGTGTCACTGGCAGATTTAAGGACTGCCTTCTCACATCTGTAATCAGATTACACCTGTGGTCAGAGGGTTGGTCCTCTTGGGTTGGTTTAGCCAAAGAGTCATTGACTTTAACACTCTGTTTGCCCCTGCAAGGCATTTTAGTTCTGATTTGTAACTGTAACCAATTCCGATGAACTTTAGGAAAATCCTAAATCCTCATTTGCCATCTATAAATACTATAGGCCTATAACTATGTATTCTATTAATTAGACTATTACTGAATTATAGTGAATTGTACCTCTATTCATTCTATATATTCAGAGTCTATCACTAAGTCACTATAATATTTTATCTTTTCAAACAAATTTGCCTTTGTCACATTTTATATTGAAAAATATATCCTGTAATGTTTATTCTGCTTTTTAATTCCCGTCAGTTCTACCAAGAACTAAACCTAACCCGAGCCATAAATTCAATAAATTCGTAGTTTTATTCACTTTGTACTTCTGCAATGCAATGGTGGTTTTCACTACGTAATTCCAAAACAGCCGCAACTTCACACCAACAAACACTGCAATCAAATGATCATTTGATTTAATTAGCGTGTAGTTCTATCCTTATTTTTGGAATACCATTGCGACAAGAAAATGTCCTATCTCTAAGAAGAGAAACGTAAAAATCCAAATAACAGTTTGATTAACACCTGCCTCACATAACCGTTCTGCGCACGACTGTTTCAAGTGTGTAACAGTAACAGGCTGTTGGGCATGTGTCGCGCTTGTGTAGGGGTTGACAGATCGATATATCTCAGTGATCAACATTGACTGGAACGATATTGCAATGATCCTTTATCGAACGCGGTTACGATCATGAAATCTGGGTCACGTTTCCTTTAGCTTTTAGTACAGTACCAACTCTCAAAACTATGGGGGGAATGAGGCGGGGGGTGGGTCTCAAAACTAGGTGTTTTTTGAGGTCCGAACACGGCTCTTGTGCACAACAAAGTGTTCGGTATCACAACTTGCGATACACTAAAAACTTGAACCAATTACGCATCTTAGGTAATTCTAGCCACTGGGCCAACGATAATGCAACTCATGCGGCTGTTCCGAACGTTGGAGTTTGAGACATTTAAAAAAATAGTGTCCACGTGGGACCACTTCAAGGCTGGTTTTTTAAGGGGGGGGGGGGGGGGGGCTAAGCTAGTACTAAAAGGACGCCCTCAAGGGTGCCACAACTGGAATGACTTGTTAGTTCTTGTTGTACGGAGGTGGAGTTGCCGATGTCTATGATTGTTGTAATGGCTATTTTTAGCGCTTCAAGCCCGAAAGTCTGAAAAAACCCTCCCAAATCGTCTGAAAGAAACACCGAATTGAAGCATGCTCCAAAATGCATCCAAAAGGTTCTAAAGGGAGTCCTGTTCCTGCTTTTGCTCCAGAGTCTTCGGCTTTCCCCCATGCTGATCAATGTGACAGTACAGGGTTGAACTAAACTGGTGCAAAAGGATTGCCCTACCCAACCGGAGTGAGTTCAGTTTTTATATGACACTGGGCGCCATAATACCTCCCCCGTGGAGGCTTAAAAAATGGCCTTATCTGAACAAATAGTCTAAATAATAAACTGAATTCAAATATAATCCACAATGCACCTCTTGATTTTGAAATAATACATATTTTCTGCGGAGCGGCTACCCAGACCCCCCCCCACTCCGCTCAAGAGGATGTATGGGTAGAAGAAGTATGTGGAAGCTTTAATCAAAAGACAGGACGATAAGATGTGAACGTTTCGGCTAAGAGCCTTCTTCAGCAGTATGTAACGGTAGTGCGTACAGTTCAAATCGATTATAACAATTAACAAAATGTCAATACGAATCGCTTATGCACAGACGTGTCCGGTCATGGAGCCAAGTCAGCCAAGCCAAGTGGGCTGAAATATTGCTTACTAATGAGATGGTCAGTTCAAATATTAGGTACATTCTGGACAACGGGGAAGGAGGGAGGAATTCTCAGTCTGTGGTCCAGCGTTAAAGGAAGATTTAAGAAGATTTTTATGGAAGTTGTAAATTGTTCTTTGTGGATACAATTTGCAAATTTAAAAAAAAATACTAATAATAATAAAGTTAATGTAAAAATTAACGCATTTTTTAGATATGACGTTATGCATACTATCCGAATCTCTGCTTGCATCTCAGGTCAAATGAGATCAATGTAAACCAGTGGCAATGTTCTGTTTTACACTCGTTTAAATCATAATTTTATTTTTATCTTTTTTTTTTCATCGATTAAAGTCACTAGTCAATTTCAGTACGAAACGAGGGTCCACCTTCTACTATGTCCTCCAATGGGAAACGTATTTTCAATTAAAAATGGAGGAGAAAAAAAACTATCTTTATAATTTTTTGTAAACCTATGACTAAATTAACAATGATTGACTTCTTAAAGAAAAAGATTAAATCTTTGTTGCATCTTTCCCTCTAAAAAAATCCGAATGGTCAACTGGTACAAAAGAGATGACCTGTGTTAATTGCCTTAATTCTACCACAGTTTTGGGACCATTGATGCCGACGGTGGTGTGTTGGGATTAATGGCCACACATCCAGTTATATCCTAAAACACATCTGCTAACATCCATTCATATTCATTAACATGTCTGCTAACATCTCTCAGTGTCATAATATATTATTAAATTTTCATTGCCCGCGGCTAGGCCGGACACCTACGCAGTAGATTTAAAAAGCAACTTGACCGCTGGAAAAGCTATAAAATTCAGTGGTTCATAACCTTTGTAATTTTCACATACATCAGCAGTGGTTCAAGTACAATAATGATACTTTTGTAGTGCGTACATGGCCACAGCGATGTACAATTAAAGGGGTACAGCGAAAACATGATGCGAGAACAGTGACAGCAGAATAACATCAGCCATATGTCTTCATTCAGATCATACACATAACTAGAAGAAACTACGATAGCACAACCACCAGTTTGTAACAAAATAATATTTTTAAAATTATTTTCACAAAATTTTTTCGATCAAAGACGAGTTAAACCGCAAGACAAAGTAGAAAATGACTTAAATTTCTTAAACCCCGTGCAACAAGTCTTCCAGCCGTTCACTAGGTGAACACTGCCACGTGTGTACAAAAAAAAATATATTTTAAAAAGCTCAATCCACACATCTGCACAAATTATTGAAATGCGAGTGGAGAGAAAGTCTGTTAAAAATTGGAGAAGTCCAACACAGGAAGTGAAACATTACATCCACAAAATGCATTGTTGCAATGATGACATCCACAAAATGCATTGTTGCAATGATGACATCCACAAAATGCATTGTTGCAATGATGACATCCACAAAATGCATTGTTGCAATGATGACATCCACAAAATGCATTGTTGCAATGATGACATCCACAAAATGCATTGTTGCAATGATGACATCCACAAAATGCATTGTTGCAATGATGACATCCACAAAATGCATTGTTGCAATGATGACATCCACAAAATGCATTGTTGCAATGATGACATCCACAAAATGCATTGTTGCAATGATNGGAGGTAAGCATTTCTTATGGGAGGTAAGCATTTCTTATGGGAGGTAAGCATTTCTTATGGGAGGTAAGCATTTCTTATGGGAGGTAAGCATTTCTTATGGAAGGTAAGCATTTCTTATGGAAAGTAAGCATTTCTTAAGAGAAATGAAACATATTAAGGGATGTGAGCCTTTCTTGGGGGAGGGGCAAGGCAAACATCTGTACATTAAGTTGTTGTTTTTTTAGCTTTAGTCTAAAATAATGACATAACATATAAATAATGGGTTCCTAACCTGATGTTAATTGGTGTTTAACTGGGGAACTATGAATACATTACATGGGATAATACACAAAATATAAGATCTTGGTGGTTGGACATGTTAATCCTCATAGACAACAAAAAATGATTTAAATCCATTGTAAACTAAACAACCCCTAAAACCAAAGTTTTTCGAATAAATCCTTGTCTAAAATATAATGGGGTGGTGGTGCTGAAAATTCAACAAAACATGCATACAAGTAATGCACTTTATTAGAATCCTAATCAGTCCCCCCCCCTCTCCCCCTCCCCTCACATGCCCCTGAACTATATTAATATACTAATGTCCCACCCGCTTTTACACCAAAGATTTATTTCACCAACTATTTCAGAAAAAAAAAAGAAAATTTGAAAAATAGGAAAATTTGGTTTTTGGGGGTGCGGGCTGAAAATTTGTTAGAATGTGTTGTCATTAGCAAAGAGTTTATGTGCCAAATTTAAACAGCTCGATAGGTTGACAGGTCAATTAGGCGTTTGAAGATTTGTCAGCCAGCCAGCCAGGAACAAAAGTGAAGTTAATATAAAGGATTTAAAAAGGCATTTTAGAAATCCAATATGGGAACTAGCAACAATCACTAAATCAAACGTCAAATCTTACATCAACTTGCGTATTTGGGTCATTAGTTGCACTGGCCAGCCTTTTCCGCCTCCTTGTCAAAGGGACGTAAGTCCCATTCTTGATTTCCTCCTGTCGTACCCTGGCAAGGTAGTAAGCATTGGCCAAACCCATCTCAGTTTGCTGCTTGAAGGCTGGTGACTGGATATTTGCACTCAGAGGAATCCGAAAACCTGAGAATACAAAAAATTAGGAAAATATTTGCATGTCAGATAGTCTGAGCCCAATTCCATGAATTTTAAACAGAAAGATTACCTAGTTTCCCACTGAGCATTTCTCAGAAATGAAACATTCAGATATTGATGCTTTATGCGTAATGTTACACAGAACTGCAAATTAATATGATGTCCAAAACTTGGTGTTTTTTTTAAAGAATAATTTGCATATTAAGGAATGACCTATCAATTTTCTTTCCAATTATTACTGGGTCCTTGAATGATGATTGTTTTTTAAAAAAATAGGTCCCAAAAAAACTCTTTCTTAAAAAAGTATTTATTATTTTTATAAGATTTTGTGATTTGACTTACGTGTGACTACCCAAAACTCGGTTTTGTTTTTGCTGTTCTCTATGGTTGGAACTGTCGTTCCTGGTGCTGGAGTGGTTGGTGTGGGGGTGACAGACGTGCTTAGTGGTGGCTCTGATGATGATGGGGGTGGTATGGTGGAGGACAGGAAGACGGTAGAGGACATGATGACCGTGGAGTTGGATATTTTTAATTCAGATGACATTACTGACACCTGGGATGTGCTGAGAGTTGGTTCAATGATAATGTCCCCTAAGCTGGAGTTAAACATGAAGGAGCTCTCCTGGAAAAAAAAATGAATATAAAAATTTAAAATCTCACTGTATTGATTTAGCCAGGCAGTTTACGTTACAAATAAAAGCATTTTCTGTGACAACAAAACCATCTTCCCCCATGTCAGAAAAGAATGTTCTATAGTAAAGTGTTGTCTTTGTACTTAAGTAACCCTCTATGACATTTACTCATCTAGTGCTTTTTAAAATCTCAGGACAATCCCAGCCATGGATGATAGTATATCTAGAGGGAAAACATCTATGAAACCCAGAATTTGATTGTTATGTTCTGTATTGATATGTATATTTTTTGAAAAATACAGATGCTTTTTTAAAAATAATTTTGAAGAAAAAAATTGACTTTAAAATGATGCAATGCCAATTTTATTTTTAAAATTCATTGTAAAAGATTTCTGGGTTAGATTTATGGGGGCTTTAAAAAAAAAGGAAAACATTTATCAACTTTTTCTAAAATTTAAATATTTTTATATCTTCCGAGATAATGTGCACATGAATCATTTTTAAAAAATGAATATTTTTTAACTTACAGTTATAATTGTAGGTGTCACATCTAAAGCACTGGATGATGAGGTAACTGAAAAATCCATCGAGCCATTCATTTCTAGAGATGAAACATGAACTGATGACATCCACACGGGTGTGGTTAACTGTGACTCGGTTGACAACCCGTTGCTTGAAGGCACTGATGGCACCAGAGATATCTCAGAAACCATGTCTGAGCTCATCGTTGGCATCTCATCGGTCGACATGTTGAGTGAGATCTGTGTGCTGGCCAACTCGGTCAGGTCACTGAATATCACAAACGAAGAGAGTGAAGGAAATGACGAAGATTCGTTATACATTGAAAGATATTCAGTCAATTGAGATGAAATACCTGGGATTAAAGTTTTTGTTTCTGAATGGTCTGGAAGAAATTCTGATGAAATATCTTGATATGTCGATAGCGCTTCTGATGAGAAGTTGGCTGAAGAATAATGAGAAGCATTCCAGGCTTCTGTGTCCATTGACACCAGTGACAGTGTCTTTGAGAAACTGTCTGTTAGTGAAAACATGTGGGAGAATTCACTGATGAATACAGTCGAATCTGTTACAATGACAAATGATGGAGTCGACAGGAAGGACCCATTTGAAGGTTCTAATGGTGAAAAGGTGTCGAGCTGTGAGCTGTAGGAAGTAGCCATGGAATCCTGTGTCCATACAGTAGATGGTGTATCGTAGATGTCAGTGACCAATGAAGCTACAGGAAGGACCCATTTGAAGGTTCTAATGGTGAAAAGGTGTCGAGCTGTGAGCTGTAGGAAGTAGCCATGGAATCCTGTGTCCATACAGTAGATGGTGTATCGTAGATGTCAGTGACCAATGAAGCGAAGGTTGTACCGCTTACATCTAGCAGTGTTGTTACATCTGGTGATGACGATGTAACTGAAGACAACCCAGATGCTGTGTCTGGTAAATAAGAGGCCTCTGTCCAATATGAGATATTAGAACTCCAGAGTGGGGTGGAAAGCAGTGTGTCATTCAGGACTGAAGCGGATGGCTGAAAAAAAAATGGCAAAGCTATAATTAAAATTAACAGCTTTTTGATAATGAACATAGATTTTTATTTTTAAATTGTAGGCTGTGAATTATGTATCTACCACCAATTGTTATTGCAATCTTTCTTGGCTACTGATAAGATCAGGGAAACAAATGTATTTTAATTTATAATTATTATAATTACACTAAATCATTAATGTATGCAAAATGTTGAAATTAAATGACAAAAATATTTCACCATCAAGTTACTTTAAAAAAAGGGTTCTAAAAACAGACCTCAACTTAGAACAACGTTAAAATCTTTAAAATAATAAAGGAAGTTAGAGAACTTATCTATTTGTATGTTAACACTGCAAGTTATGACTTTTTTCTTCTTTTTCTGCGTTATTTTAAATTAACAAAACCGTTTTAAAAAAATGATGATGAAGTGAGACTTCTGTAAGATCAGACGGACATCACAATATGGTGACATTGTGAATGATACACGGGTGCATGTGACGACACAAGGTTCTGTCCTTACCTTGGCGTCAACAGTCCCTGACTATAATGAGAATACAACAATCACCAAACACTGGCTTTAAATGTCGCTTTCATTGCAAGAAATACAATGTTATTTGTTGCCCTCTTGTCAAGCAAATCGTTAACAATTTGACAACTTTGGGGACTAGGATTATAATTCATGGACTTTTTTTTTTTTTAATTTTTAAAAAAAAATTTTATTTACAAAATTGAATTTTTTTGGTCAAATATTTAAAGAAGAATAAGATCATTCTAAAAATTTAGTGAAGGTCATCTAAAAAAAAATTATTAAAGCTTCTTTTCATTTTACAGAATTTTGGGTATGTGATAAATGGTTTTATTTAAGGTTAAGGGCGGGAAAGGGATGGGTGGAGATGTTTGCTTTAATTGAAAATTTATAACATAACCCACCAGACTTTAATTAGATATGTTTAAGTATAAGTTTATATAAAACAGGATGAATGAAAGTGAACAAGATCAAACAGGTGGTGGAGGTCAATGAGTGAAATCAGTGCCAAGGACAAGTTACAGTGTTCTATGGAAACTCACAGTTTTGTCTATTTAACTTTGAATATATTCTGAACAGTTTATTTTTTTCTTAAATATGAACTATCACAAGTTGAGTTTATACATTATTATCTGATCTGTGTCAAATTTTAAACACTGTTTATAATCTTGCTTTTTTTTTTTTTTTTTTTTTTTT